GCACACAGCTGCTAGCTACCAATCGATTATGGAAAAAAATTTATTTGGTCAATCATTGTAGCCATAAAAAGCTTGAAACTTTTAAACGGTCTTCAGTTTTGATTGCTTGATCAAACAATTATTATCAGGGATGAAACTCGATTTAAACAAATGCAACATTTCGACGCCTTGTGAAGTGATCATCCTCGTTTGCGTGTACTTGAAAGTTTCATTTTGTCACCACTTGGTCATAAATTAGAGTTCTTTGTAAACTGTGCCAGTAATTTGGTGCTTCGTTGAGCTCTGCACTATGTTTATCTAATCTTATTTCTGAGTCGACTTTTTTGATTTTGCGCCTCCTGCGACTCGAGAAAAACTCGTTATCCCAACAAATGGGTAGTTAGTCATGCGTCATGACATATTACATCGGATTTACCATAGGTAAGTTGATTGTTTGGTTTTTTTTAATTTGCTGCAAAATTCTTACGTTCTTTTGACTCAGATATAAAAAATCATTGAAAGGTGTATTTGAAGAGTGAACGAGTTATCTTCCCTTTTTCATACTCGTCTATGATTATACTCAAGTGAAACCTGTACGACGCACAGAACCCGCTGACGACAAATCCATTGTTCCTTCCCATGACATGCTGCAACGAATTTCCATTTTTCTCTCCAAACTTAGTTCAGGCCCCAGGTACTTAAAAGTGCAGAATAAGTGGATATGACCTGAATCAAAGATAGATTTTAGAGAGGATAATTGGATGTAAACCGGAGTTAAGCACCGGCCTAATGGGCCACTAGGCTCGTAAACAGACTTTACCTTTTAATTGGATGTAAACATCACTACTGAAAGAGTATTTGTCGTGTGAGTATAGCTTGCCTTTGCAACAACATCCCGACTGCCTTACAGCCAAAGAACATTCATATACATAACAAACTGTGTGGGTACATATAACTAAAGCGCAGAAATAGTACAACTTTTTTTGGCGGTTAGGAGGTAAACAAGAATTAAAATAGCCACGCTCGAGTATTAGTCAAGGCGACTTTTGAGGTATTCATTGTGTAAAGACCGATAACATGGAAATTACTTGGCGACAAATCTTCCTTTACGAAATCTCTCGAGTACATCATAAATAAACTCGGGAAAAATAAAAGCTAAGAGGATTCATCATGGTCGATTATTAGACTTTGAGGAAACATTTAAATAATGAGCATTTGGTACTGGTGTGAGAAATAAACCAATTCGCACCCTCACGTTAAACCATCGTCACGGCCAATAAGCATCCGATAACGAAAATTAAGTTAAATTTCTAAGCGTTCATATTTACATATTTACCCAGCTGCCTGTGATAATCTCGTACCTTTAAATCAATCTCTAGTACTATATTTTGCGAAAAAAATAGCAGAATTGTAAAATGACTTCGATTTATGAAATCAACCTTTTTGGTACTGAACTATGAGAAAGAACTCAAAGCTTAGCGCACTTTTAGATTTCCTTTCTAAATCAGATAAGGTACTTTTTAAAAATAATTGGATTCGTTCGTTATTTAGAAGAACGTATCATCGTAAGCTTTCTTCTTCAATAAGACCAAAAGCTTTTCTACACGTTCTTCTAGGAAAATTAAGGCTGCCTTTTAGCATTCAAATTCTACCAACAACTATGGCAACTCAGTTTTTATTCGTTGTTCCTTCGTGCATAGCTTGTGGCCTTAAAGATTTGACAGTCTTCATGATTTGCTTCAACCATTTTGGTTTTTATTCAGTAGTTGGTATATATTTGCATTTGAACACTAGTAATTATTATGTTTAAGCTCTTGTCAACTGAGTACAAAACGAGCTTTCTGCAAATCCAGATGAAGAGATCTGCGTTAAAATGATTTTGCAATCGCTAAAGGGAAAATGCATTCCACCAATATATTCAATGAAGGTTGATATCTTGTGATAGGAGAAATTTCCCCATCATAAACTTCAATGGAGACATTCCAAGTGATCTGTTTTTACTATCAACAGCTCCAACTAATTTACTTTGAACAGGCCGCATAATACCGTTTCCTCTTGACAAATCTCATATGGTTTACTGTTGTATATCGATCTCTCGGTTTAGAGAGGAATTTTAACATTCGCTGGAAATTTTTAATTTTGTCAGACAGGGCAGCGTTCAGGGTGATGAAAATTAGGTAAATCAAAAATGAACATTCTTGCGTAACATGACACTAAACCAATGGGCTAATTAATTGTTTTCTACGTTTGAAATAATCTTCTTCATAATGTAATTGCTTCCCTTCCTATAGGGTAATCTGTTGAATCGTTAATAAGTCACAGAACTGAATTAAACGATCAATTCAGTTACTAGAAAGTGTGAATTACATTGAAGCGTATACACAGTATTACCGTGTATTAAAACAAAATAATAAGGCATTGTACGTGCGTCCAAGATGATTTCTCATGAACAAAACTTTACCAAGGTATGTTAGTTGCTGGTTTTGTCCAAGGAAAGTACGAAAATCTATTCAAATCCATACGTGGTGATAAGAGACTTAAGTTCTGTACCTACTCTAGGTCGTTTAGAGCAGATCTAACGCAGAACAAAAGGTGAGAAAAAGACAATTTCGAAAGGAGCATGTCCTTTAATGCCAGTGTAAATGTGCCTACTCTGAGAAAACAAATGGCAGATGGCTACATAACTTAAGTGACAAAGGAAACTGAGAAAGGCAAATTTCAATTTTGGTAGTCGAAAATAATCGACAAAAACAGATTTCAAAGTTTGGTTTTCGTAATCAATTTGCTCTACCCTTTTTAATTCTTTATTCACCAATTTTAAGTCATTCACTCTCCTGATTTTCATAGCTTTTAGATTTTTTAGCGACTAATTTAAATTGTAATTTCTGTTTGAACCGTAGCTGACATACCCTGTTCTGTGATTTGCACCACAGAATCTTTAAAACATGGAATGTCCTTTTCTGATTCCCATAAAACATTTTTTCGATTCCTTTTGGAGTTCTTACTTTTAACCGATATTTTGCCGCCTCAAGATACTGGAAATTGCATTTCCATATCCTGAAGCAATTTCTATTCTAATTATAGCTTCGCGTTTTTATTGGGTGTGGCTAATTCAGCCGCTTCTCGCTTATTTTACAAACCCTTGCTAATTGGCCTAATAAGGCAATCTCGAAACACTATGGTCACAAAAAGTAGCTATCGCGATCAAATTAATATTTAAAAGAGCAGCATTTTGCTGTTTACATCCTGGTAGAGATGTGATATTGTCAAACATCATTAGCAGCCATTTTCTTGAGCTTTGGCTAATCTTTGTTACGGATTGGTAGAGTCTTAGATAATCCCCTTGTTGTGCAAGTCGGCAAGAAAATAGTTATTAGCGAATTGATCGCCTAAACTTAGAAAAACCTCCGGTCGAAGAGAATTTCCATAATTCATAAAAGCGACTGATTTCATATTGTAAATATTGACAGATCGAATTCTTAGCGATGTTTTATTTGAACAAGGAACTCGATGATGACTAACAAACAAAAAATTGTCGGAACATGACAGGAAAAAGGAGTTCTACACGAGACTAAGTTAACAACTTTACTAATGCTTCTAACATCAACGTCCTTTTCGCGATCGAATAACTTTGCCGCTCTAACTAATTCGAGGAAACCTACCAATTACTAGTCTTTTCAAAGATTCCGAACAAAAACACCGGAACTAATTTACAATGTCAAAGAGCCATTTTCTCCAAACCTTGTCCTATTTGTTTCAACGTTGTTTTCTCTTTTTTTACCCTGTATTTTTTATTCACTTACTGAATAGAATGCAAACCCGTAAAATGTTCTCAGGAATGAAAGCCGCTTGACTATCTTGGCCGATAACACGCGCTGTTTTAAATAAGCCTTTTTAATCTGCTGTCTATCAATTGAACTCCGGATTAATGTATGCGCTGATCGCCAGTTGACATCAAAACTCTTCGAATGAAGCACTCACACCGTCTGCGCGCAATTGAAAGAGATTCGTGGAATATTTGGCGCAGTGAGGTCGCTGTTTCGAAGGCTGTGACTTTTTCAAACGGTTAAATAACCCATGTTGCTCTTGCAAGGAGTGGTAGTAGCTACGGGAGCATGAAATTCTGCTCAGTGAAGGTATTCTGCTTGTATTTGTTTAGAATCGCAAACATCTGTCTGTTTCGAATGCAGTGCTTGTTTTGCCGGTAAGATAAAATTACTTTACCTGTAATAGTTTTACCAATGGAGTATCACTCAAGTAATTCAAAACAACCAGTTTACGGTACATAGATTTTGGTGAGTAAGCTTGGGGGAAACCTCGTTTCCCTACCTAGTCATTGAATGAGTTATTTATGTCACCGAACAGAGTTTCGATGCTATGAATATTTTCTCTGTGCGATTAAAAATAGTATCCGTGTCAACTTCAGTCCTCTGGCTTCAGACAGATTTTGTAATTTAAGATGTGGCAGAATTTAGCAAAGTTTTCATTTCTAAAAGGACGAGCGGTCGCGTTTTGCGAGCGACCGTTCGTTCAAGTAAAGTTTACCTTCATACACGTTTGTTTTCTTTTTGGTGAGTAAATGTTTAAGATTTGGTGTTAGCAAAAGACACACGATTTTTTAACCCAAGAAATCACCAATCCTTTAAAGTCTGGAAATTAGATTCTCTTTAGTGAGTTTTACTATGGAAATGTTTTAAAACAAGACGAAGAATGGTGTCAAAATTGTAGTAAATTCAGCAGGATACATGGGTTTATTGAACACGGTTCATGAAATATGCCTCCTCCATTTTACCGCTAGCAAGGAACTTTGACGTCGTTGCGGTAAGAAAGTGTTATTGTCATCCTTTTTATTATATTTTCGCGACTTAAATGCAAGAACCAGTGAGGATCACGGGTTCAAATTTGTAGAATTTGTAAAAAGATTATATCTCATAATTAATTTCTAAGTCCCGCTTTGTGTGGTCTTAACCATTATATTGGCGCCTCTTCCATTCTCACCAGTCGCTATCTTTTTTTTTCAGCTTCTAAGAACGTGAAACAATGAACAACACAACCGATGTAGGATTCGTGTTTAACACAAGCGATGGAAATATCGTTGCAGCATTCTTCGTCGCCCTTCTGATGCTGTTGACATTGGTGGGAAATATCATGGTGTGCGCCTGCTTTTACTATTATCGTGATCTCAGAACAATTTGTAACTACTTTATCATTAGTCTAAGTGTAGCAGATATCTTAGTGGCGCTATTAGCGATGCCTTTCTGGCTGGTGCTGCAGTTAACTGATATGGATGAAAAATCCAGAAACGTTTTCTCAGGAGAGTTGTACAGTTTCTGGGCAAGTATTGACATCCTTGTTGGGTCGGCGTCCATTATGAATCTTGTAGCCGTCAGCTTTGACCGTCATCTAGCTATCACCGCGCCATTTTCGTACAGCAAATCGCTGACTTCGTTTAGAGCAATTATCATGATAGTTGCGTTGTGGGTATTCTCTATCTTGCTCTGCGGTCTACATGTTCCCGCGGTAAAAACGGCAAAAATGCGTTCTGCATATCAAATTGGTCTCGTGGTGGTTAGCTTCATTGTCCCTCTGTTTCTTATGTTTGTCATGTACATGAAAATATACTTTGTGGCAAGAAATCAAGCGCTCCGCATTGGTCGAAATTATGCCAAGGACATCAAAGCAACCAAGACCATAGCTATTGTTATTGGAGCGTTTGTTGTATGCTGGATGCCTTTCTTCGCAATACTCACTTTGTATGCATTAAAACCTGATTATAAAGTCAACACTGAAGGTATGAAGGCAATCAAATGGTTGGAATACCTCAACTCGTTCTTGAACCCAATCATCTACACCTGTTTAAATCGCACCTATCGTCGTGCCTTCAGGAAACTTTTGCTTCGTTCGTCTTGTTGTACGGGCCGTGGATCATCTGGACGCCTCAACTGCGTTCAATCAACACATTCTTCGTTCCACAAGACGAAAGCGGAGTCTCTTTCTCACAGTTCGTCTTCAGTCTCCGAGAATGGAAATGTCTATACTCAAAGAAGCCCCAAGATGGAGGGCACAAGAGTCTAGAATTAATCTCATTCAGTTCTTCTCTGTAAAACAAAATAAATTCGCTCGGAAAATATAAAATGCCCTATAACATTCATTTTGAAATCACTGATGTTCTGTTTGATATCTGATTGGTTCTCGGCACTACAGTTTATTTACGAATCGCAATATATTTTGCTCTAATTCGCATCTTTTGCCATTAAAACATTACGGCCATCAGACTATAAGGCTTGTTTAAAGTGACCAATCAAATTTAGGAAAAGGAAGACGAAAAAGTCACTGTGTGGCAAATTTTGTCTTCAAAACGTTTCTCTCTATTTCCATAGAAAGGGATGAGTATAATTGGGGATTAAATTTTCCGATTTCAAAATGGATGTAATAAAGTAGTAATTGAGCTTTGTGCCGTACAATCAGTTTGGTCGAACTCCCACTTGTGATTTCAAATCGAACTCGTGCTGCGCGCTCGTTCGATTTTGCAATCATGCATATGATTCCAGTCCAAATTGCGCTTCACTTAGTCCAATTACTGTTATCTATTTCAAGTGTATCACAGGTGAATCACAAGACTACGTAACAAAGACGGAAGGTAGTTAAACCGTCTGAGGTGGCTCCATGTGTAGCCATTGCAAAGCAATGTCAAAGGTACACGTGGCTTCCACGAAATAAATTCTGCCACATTCCATCGTCTCCCGGAATAAGTCCAAAAAGTGATTAAAATAAATCAGACAATCGTAATACGAAAGAGGAAAGGATAAACGGCTTCCTCGTCGCGTTCATATTCGGCAGCTATTCAAAAAAATGCAATTTAGTGTATTACCAGCTGCTGTACTGTCTCAGTGAAACTTAGACGCGCTTAAAAAAAAAAGCAAAAAGAACGTAGAAGCAGACCACCAGTTACTGTTAGTGAGTTAGGTGCCCCTATGTGAGGTGCTCTAGTCCAGTTGTTTACAATAAGTATACGAGAGGATTTAATAGATTAATAATCAATTTAATAGCTTAACTTTTGGAGAAGCGCACTTCCTTCGTTTTCCTTATCATCTATATATGTAACTTAAACTAATGGTCGAAACATACTGATGGCCGGGACGGCTCGCCTTCCTGATCGCACTACGGTTGATCCGCCTAAATATAGTGCCTGCCACTGAAAAGATGAGCCCAAAAAGTTCGTGCAATACCCATTTATTAACTGAATAAATGTAAATACTTCGTTGAGTCGATTATAACTAGCCAGGCCGAAAGATAATAAAAAAGCATTTCCCATGCCAAATTGTCAAACATCGTACTCCAAATCTTATTCTAATTAAACAAAAAAATAGCTGTTCAAATCCTAGGAACTAATTGTTGCTCAATAGGCCCTTTGCAGCTAGAGATCACGTGCTTAGATATCGCATAGCAACGCCATACTGGAGAGCAAGCACTCCAGTGATCTCAGACAATATAGAGGTCACAGAGGTCTGCATTCCAACAAAGAATACAGCGGATAACAGGTCAAAAGGTATCCCAATTCGAGAAATCCAGTAAGAAGTAATCAACAGCTTCCCCGGAGTATATCAGCAGCAAAATCACACCAAAATTGGTTTTTCGCTGATACACTCCAAGGAAGCTGTTGATTAAAACTTACAAGATTTCTCAAATTGGGATACCTTTTAACTTGTTATCCGCTGCATTCTTTGTTTGAATGCAGACCTCTGTGATCTCTCTTTTGTCTGAGATCACTGGAGTGCTTGCTCTCCAGTATGGCGTTGCTATGCGGTATCTAAGCACGTGATCTCTAACTGCAAAAAGCCTATTTAAAATTTCAACGGTGGCCCAACGGTACATTGTTGAGACCTGGCCGGAGTCAGTTTAATGTGTTTATTTGCGAGACGCTTGTGCATCTGCCCGCGATTTTTCAAAGGCTGAATAACGCTATCCACTAGATAAATCTCTATCCAGTGGATAGTGTAATGCTTTCTGCTGTCACTTATCCGCTGGATAGCGATTTATCCGTTGGCTAACGTTATCCACCCTTTATACAACTAGACCCCGCCTGAAGTATGATTTGGAATCGCAAACCGTCTGGAAAACCTAACGAAATGCTCGAGGGTTACCTATGGTAGACTAGTAAATCATGTGAGAACAAGAGTAGCAATACTCCTGGACGGTTACTTCATGTCACTGGAAGTGAGATAATCCCCAGCGGAGGAACAGGCCCTTTCACCGTCATACGATCCCGCTTTGGCTGCGCAACGTTGACGATTTATGACTACCGTACCCGAATACGAAATCGACACATTCCATCACCACCTTGCCCAACAAAACGCTGACATACAAATAACCAGAGAAATCGGAGTAAAAAGAAAACTACCTCTTCTAGCGACTCCCTGATAAGCCGTGACGAAGACACAGCAAGGACAACAGCTTACCAGAAACTGACGCATTCCGAAGGATTTACTTAACGATTCATTCCAAAACATTACATCAAAGTGAGGACTCTACTGAACGAGACAAACACAACCAATTTTTGAACACGACGGACAGGTCCGTACTGATACTCTGACACCACGAATGCCACTCCCGACAACTGTCTAATTCAGCTGAGGATATCCTATATCTTCAATCTCATTACCTTCACAAATACTAGCCGTGGTTTTAGAATGGCCTGTTTAAACATTAGGTGCTGTTTACTTAAATAAAGTTTAACCCTTATTCAGCCAAACCACGCTCTAAACAATCTTTAGTCAAGGAGAGGAAATCACTGAGACTTTTCAAAATTAAGACCAAAATATTTTGCGAAACTGTCAAAGGGCTTATTTTAGGTATATATTTGGCACAAAAGAAAGTTCGAATTGGTGAAAAAAAAACCTACGAGGAACCTTCGAAGTTTTGATCGTCAAAAACCGCGGCCCAGACTAGACCTCGTTTCAATAACCGCTCCTATTGGTCTTGCAAAACATATTGATCAACTTAGACTGATCATTTTTCTGCCTGATTATCCAATAGACATCTCGCAATTGACGAAAGCAAACCGTGCTGAATCCATATATCAGGCTCCGAATTTATTCGTCTTGATAGAAGTAGAAATGGCAGAGAAAGTTTCTATATCAAAACCTGTATTTCATGAGTTATAGTCTGGAGAATTTAATTATAAAAATTCGTAAACCGAACTTGAAGTCATTTGTTGTCACATGGTACAGACATCCTAATTCCTTAACCGACTTATTCTTGCTTTATAAGACATTTATCGGCAAATTAGACTCGCCTGAATTCGAATGATGTTCGTTTGGTGGTTTAAACTGTAACTTAGACTGATATAAAAACTCGTCGTTTACTTCAAATTACGGATTCGAATCGCGGCTAAACGACTATTAACTAAACCTACATGTGTTACAGAATCCTCATCAACTCTGTTTGAATTGATCTATACAAAAACTACTAACAGGACAGTCTGTTCTGGAGTTTTTGTATTAGCATCAGTGATCATACTCTTATTTATTTTAATTGCAAGCTTTCATCCGATTCCCCGTCTAAAAGTTATTATTAGTGAACTTACGCAAATACCACGTCGCTTCAGACGACGTCGGGAGAGATAGAAAAATGATTCAATGCGCATGCGTGCATAGGAAACCTAATTATCTCTGTCACGTCGCGAGCCGACGACGCCGTCAGAATCCCTGGTTTCAAGTCGTCGCAGCTGTTGAAAATGGCAGATGGTCAAGCGCTAAAGAAAAGGTGAGTTTCAAGTGAAATAACGATTATTTTGTGTCTGCAACACTAAAACTGCGATATTGTTGAAGGCTTTAATTGTTTATGACAAATTTTTAGCGAAAATTGCGAGTGATGTTGACTTCCAGCTCCTTCAGTTTCTGCATTAGAATTTTAAGCTGTCGCTGTGAAAAATTTGCTGCCATCGACAACAGTTTCTGCTTCCTTTCCCTAATTTTACCTGATATCTTATCTTACCTTATCTTTTACCTGTGTTATGTTTTTTTAGTTCTTTCATGAAGTGGATTGAAAAGCACGACATCTTTCTGTGCTGGGAAATTCTATTCATGAAGCCATATCAGTTCAAGGCAGGAAGCCCTCAAAGTGGAAACGCATGAAAAAATATTGCGAGTGACCTTTGTGAAGTAAAGGAGATTACCTTCAATGTCAACCAAAAGTCTGTTCGGGATCGATGCCGGCTTTTGTTAGTAAAACATAAGAGGAAAATGAGGGCTCAAGAAGGCTCCAGTGGTTCAAATACCGACGAAACCGAATTAGATCAACTACTACAAAATATCGTGGAAGAGTCTCGAGAGGCATCAGAGAATTACGAAACAGATACGAAAGATAAACATGAGAAAGGCTTTAAAGCTCGTTAAGATGCCGAAGAAGTCCGTCAGAAGGCTCTTGAAAGTCTCGCCCAAACCGAAAAAAGGCACACCGAAGAGAGAGAGCGAAGCCAATCAAGCAACTCCAGGAAGAGACCCAAGAAGAGTGGATCAGAAACTATGCTCTACCTGCAGAGTAAAGCTGAGAAAGAGCTTGACCTAAGGAAAGAAGAGTTGAAAATGAAAAAGGAGGAAAGGGAGCTACAGAAAGAATTGCAGTTGGAAGTAGCTCAAAAACAAGCCTCAGTAACTGACACTATGGTTAAAATGCTTGAACATTTTCAGACGCAACAGGTAAACGTGCAGCAGCAGGTGTTGCAACAGCAACAGCAATACCAAATGATGATGCAGCAGCAGTCGCAGCTCTTTTTGTCTGTAATAGATAGGCTGTCTAAAAATTGTCCCAAATCTGACTGAAGCATGCTGTTGAGTGTTTTTATTTGTCAAAATACCCTGTGCGGTTTTAGGGATAAATGTCCTGTTTGATGCTTACAACTGTTGTTTACTGTTGTTTAAAATGAGAGAAGCACGCATGCATTTTAATGATTAATCGGTATTTTACCGAGTTGCAGTGTTTGGTTGTTGCAGTCTGTACCAGGATAGGCTTTTGGATCTCTATTCATGTGTATGATCTTTTAGCAGCTAACTGTTGTGTTTAAATAAATGATATTCATATCACAAGCACAGCCACTGTCTTAAAAGCCTCAAGCAGTATCTTAATATGCAGCACCAATTCTTCTCAGATAAAAATAATACTTCCATAGACTAGACACACTGTTAGATAAGCTTTTTAAGATACATTGGTTGCATAACCATTATATCTAAACAAAAATTAATGTTTTTTTAAAAACGATATCATGATAGCTGAACTTCATTGCACAGGGAACTCTGCAAAATCTTAAATATTTGAAAGAGATTCTCTCTCTATGGAACATCTTGCCACAGGTCTCTCAGTACATTGTTGATTTTATATCTTCTCTGGGTCTGTTTACACAATTACTTTTTGATCATTTGTTTTATGCAATAGATACGTAGGAAGTGAAACACTGGATGAATTGTCAGTAAAATCCTGCTTGAAAGCTAAAGGATATCTTTGTTGTGATTTAATTTTCAGACACCTTTTGACAATCTTCAGCACTGAAATTCACAGATTTAAGATTGACCCATTTTAAAATTAATTTATGCAGTAAACACCCGCATATAAGAACACATGGATTAAGAATATCTGGCTGAAATTTTGCAAATAAAGCACCATTTTTATAACAACAAAATCAGCCTGGAAATATAAATTGTTCTTATAAAATGGACAAGACATTAACATGCCGTTCATGTTAGATGTATTTTCTTGTTCTGTCCACTAGTTAACTTGTAATAAGGCTGATTTTCTGCATTTTTTTGCATTGTTACAGATCTGAATTCCAACAACATAATTTAAGAACACCTTCAGGCTGATTTTTCACTAAGCACCCGATAAATAAGAACCTGATCAGCCTGGCCTCCAAAATCATGTGTTCCTATATGCGGGTGTTTACTGTAATAAATGGGGCCTGCATGTGAAAATTATTATGTAAAAATTCTGAAAGCAAATGGAAAAAGAAAAAGTCCCCGAAAAAAATATTATTTATAAAAAGTCGTAAATTTTCTATATATATTCTCTACAGGCATGGATGTGTGAAATTTGACAGTGGTGGGCAGAAAATGAGAAAAACGTCCTTAGATCTCTGTGACGCTTGCGACAAACGAGATCGAAACTTCGAGGGGTGTCGCTAAGGCGTGTTAATGCTAAGGATAAACGGGACCATCTTACAGGTCGTTTCGTGCTTCAAGTACCAATAACCACGAAAAATAAGGTTGACGGTTAACGGTGATTTAATGGTGATAAATGATTAACGA